GGGTGGAATTCCACCCGTCTTAAAGTTCCCAAGATTGAGAAACACTGACCTAGAGACTCCACAGACACATCCATCTAGTTCTTTTGGTTATGATACCAAAACAGTTTGGTACAGTATTGTGTTCTTCCAGGATATCTTTTTGAATTCCCAGTCTATTTCTGGTGTCTCCCATCCAAATACTAATCATATCTCGGCTTAGCTTTTTAGAAGGTCAGTTAGGTGCTGCCATCTAGCTGGCCCAATTCCTTACCTATAAAAAACTTTGGGCACTTCACTAGCCCCATGTTACACTTGTGGCACAATGTGGGTAGGCACCTACACAGAAGCTCCCATCCTACATTTGTGCAATTTAATGGCAAAGTGTGACTCTTAGCTCAAAAATTATTGCATACCCTGATGTACAATCTACTACTATGTAAATTATCTGTGAAAATTATCTGCACTAATTTGGGTCAGATTCCTTTAACAGAAAATGGTCTACTGTTAAGAAGGTGAGGTCCATTTCCCACCTAAAAGTGAAATATCACATTACTGAGCTACAAATCTTGCTGTGGTCAAAATGTCAATACCAGTAACCCAGTTCCAATTGAGCAGGCAGGCCAGGAAGGTCCATTGGCTAAAAGAGGAATGTATCTGATACTTGTATCTATGTGCATCTCATTATGCAACAGGTGGGTAAGAGAAGGTGGCCACAGAACATCCAGGTTATGTGAAGAGCCTGAGAGATTTTGGCTAGAATATATTGGGCAGTTTGATAGGGATATCAAAAGAAAGGGGTAGTTGAATCTAAAAGGACAGGAGTTAGAGAAAAAAGTGTGTGAAGAGACTTTTCAGCCAAATCAGATGTTTCCCTGCACTCTCTGATATCTTCAGGAACACAGCAAGGAAGGAAAGGATTAAATTCTCTCTCCAGGATTAATAAGGTGCTCCCTCCCCCCTGCATTTAATGTCAGAAATTGTTTAACCTTTAACTTAGGGAAGACAGAAAGAGCCACAGTGTAACTCCGAATCTTTCTATCTCAGCAATGACTTTCTCCACAACGTAGGTAAATCTAAAACAGGGAAAAGGTATAATTTTCAGGCAATGTTTTAAAAATGTTTTGCTAACTATTGTACTCAGCTGGAAATCAAATCAGGATTAGGATAGATGTGACACCCTAACTAGTTTTATTTACTAGTTGCTTTCACAGGAACCCACAGCAGTGCAGATGAACTTCCTTGCTGTGGCCAGCTCTTAAATTACAGGAGAAAGGGTCACTGTCTCCTTACCTTTTGCAACTGTACATTTAAAACAAGAAGGAGAGGGCTGGAACCACAAAGTGGGGCTTGCTTGCCAATTTCATTAAGACTCTCTCCTTTCTCCCAGTTACTTGAGTGCTAATGCAAACTGCATAGGAACCCAATTCCATGTTTTCTTCTTTCCCTACCTGCATGATACGCTGCTGCAGGGAAGAACATCCATGTGCATTTCCCAGTGGTGCACAAACATAGCAACTGAACCATTATAAAACACATTAGACCAGTGTTGTCCAAACTTGGCCACTTTAAGATGAGTGGACTTCAACTCCCAGAATTCCCTAGCCAGC